GTCATATTATGTCGCCAGTGGAGGGATATGTGTTTTATCATTTTGTAGTTATGTAAAAGAAAAAAAAAAAAAAACAAGAAAAAGAAGAATAATGTTTCACATCTAAGCAAAGTCATCTTAATCTTATTTTTATCTGGATAAGGATCAAAGCAGATTGTTCATATTGAAGAGAGCGTAAGAAACTTTATTACTTATAACACAAATATGGCATAAAGCGTAACATGTATATTTATATATACAAAGAAAAAATTTATTTTCAACCAGCCTTTATATGCAAAAAGAAATGAAAAGAAAATGCTATTAAATATGTTTTCGCTGTTATTTAAAAAAAAAAAAAAAAAAAATGTATTAAACTATAAAGTTAATGGATCTTGCGTATAGCTTGTAACGACAAATGAAAATTTACATCTCGTTTTTTTCATTCTGTTTCATAACTTCCTTTAACTTTTTGTCTTTTTTTCTTTTTTTTTTTTTGCTAAATATGCGTACACATGCATATGTATATGCCGGTAAATTATGTACATTTTATGTAAAAAGAATAGAAAACATTAAAAACATGACTTTTGTCTCAACAAAATCTGTGCGCAATCATATGTTCATTTATTCTTTTTTATGTATGTTGTTTACTTATGCCGTTTTACCATAACTGACATAGTAACTCGTAAGGATACTTTACTTTGTTATTTCGTTTGTTACACCATTCAAGCCGAACTTATTGTTCCCCTACTTCTCTGAAGCTAAGAGAAACTGAATTGAAACTAAAACTTGATGTCACCATCAGATTTCGTGTTTGAAGTATTCGGCCGCCAACGTCAACTAATTTGCTTGCGCGCACTACATAGCCGGAGAAAGCTCATGCAAGAGCAATTCGGTGCATAAAGAAAGACCCACTGAAGCATGTTCGCATTGCGGAGATCAGCTTAGCTGAGCTTAGAGCCGCAGGCCATACTTTCATGAAGTAAGCTTAGCTTAGTGCAAAACTGTACGCTGTATAAAAGGCGGTCCTTTGAAACACCTACTATATGTTTGCCTTAATATAAACTTCGAGATCCTGGAGAGTGTCGAGGAAAGCCCTACTTCAGAATGTAAATAATTTTGCCCTTAGATAGGGTAGCGTAAGAACATATCAGAAGGCTGTTAAACGGCTACTTCGCCATAACTAGAGCAATTCCATACATGGCCATATCAACTAAGATTCATTGCATCATCTTTGCTTTTAAAAAATAAGTTTAGCAGGTGTACAGTGCGCGAAGCTATGTATGGAAAATGGTCCACTGATATGTCTTCTTTGATATAAAGCCAGGATTGCTCAACTTAGAACCATATCGTATGTAAAAAATAGTCCGCTGAATTTCGTCAACTAATTGTGAAACTTGGTTTGTAATATTTGAAGGCCGTCTAGAAGATAAAACCCTTACAACAACGGCGTTTAAAACAGTAAAAAACATAAGAGAAGAATGAAGGAGATCCATTGGAACATTTTCCACTATGTTTAACTCCCAAATTTTGCTTACATTAGGGAAGAAGGAATTTTGGAGAGTGTCGAAGATAAGTGCCCACTTCAGAATGCACAAGGCTTTGCCATAAGAGTGAACTAAGAAAATGTCGATGGCAGGTCCATTTCGATACCTAAGAGATTTTATACCCCACGTTCAATATTCCATGAAGCAGGCGGTGCAAATCGTAAAGAATAAAAAGGACTTCAATTTTCGCCACTAAAATGTAAAAAAAAATTTGTCTAACACTTTCCCACAACGAAGCTTTTCGAAGAAGGCCAACGAAGGCGTGAGTGGAGTAGCGAAAACCACTTTTAGATCCTCCTTCTCCCATAATGCGTTTAGAGGCAGCATGGGGTGGATTTCTGGCTTTTCATGTCCGCCAATGCCGATTGTACCGATGTGAGGTAACGGGTAGATATAGAACAGAGAGAATCTTGACCCTAACTGACTCTTTATAACAATAAGTCCAGCAGAGCAAGTGATTTTAATGTTCTGAGTCCAACTTGCAATAGGTATTTGGGTTTTTCCGAATGTACATAACTGTAATTTCGTCTACAACTCTATGTGATTTTTGTTGCCTTTATTTTCTCCTTTCATTTAGAAAAAAATTTGGAACATGGCATTTGGCGTGCATCCAAGAAATATACTTTTTTCATTTCTTTTCTTCTTTTTGTTTTGTTTTTTCTTTTCAATAAGCAAACAAAGGAAAATAATCCCAACAATTACAAAAATGTAAACCCTCTTGTTTTTGCTTATGTTGTCACGCTACTTAAAAGTGGGTCTTCATATACTAGGTCTTCAGACCCATCTTAGCAGGATAGTTGCAAGCCAATTTCGGAACGCCATGAGAAGCACGCGTCAGCGAATCCATGTCCATACTTGTCTGTATGTCAGTTTGTTCCTCGATTCTTGACCGCCCTCTGCTTAGTTGTACTTATAATTTTTTGCTTTTCGCTTTTTCTACGACATTTTCTCTACTACTTTTCGCTTTAGCAAATTCAAACAGCAGTTATCCAACATAGATTAATGTAGTCGTTAAACATTACATAAGATATGCCTTGAGACAAAAATTACTTGCTTTGGTAAATCTCTCTTAGTGTAGGTTACAAACATATATATAGCTGTATACATATAGCCCTCCTGCAGAGCGAAAAAATCCTCAAGGCAATCGGCAACAGATTGACGTGGTTGGAAAATTTAGATGAAAAAGCAAATATCTAACGACTTTAAAAGATAAAAATGAAGCTAATAAATGTTAAAGGAGCTTAAATGTATTCATTATTCGCGAGATGAGTTTCCTGATAGCCAAAATGTGAGTCCCACCAACAGTTGAAGATGCGTGTAACAAATATGTAAACATTCAGAAGCGCTGCTCTTCAGATGATTTTTATGGACTCGATTCATTCGACTCGACATCCCATTCTCATCAGCCGATAAAGCTCTGCAAACAAAATAAAAAATGCGGACTGCTGAAGGCTCATAGAAGTCCCCCTGGATAAGTCGAGGACGATTCCGCAAATAGGATAAATCCTGCAAAGAGCGCTTTGCCTGCAGATTCCAATCTAAATATTGTGATTACTAATTAACTCACACGGCTTAGTGAGAGAGAAAATTAGAAGAGTAATTGAAACTGTATTAGTGCTCCTGTGGACAGACCGGCTATTTTTTATCCAATCAGAGCATGAAAATACTTTATATGTTTGCTAATAATAGGTTTCTGCGACGTAATGCCAATGTGACGAATTCTTCGGGACAACCTGCCAGCTCAAGCCCACCTAATTTATTGTTTTTTTCGAACAAATTTTTGGAAAAAACATATCCGCACGCACATGATTTGATCATTCTAGTTATATAATATTCATGGGAAAAATGGAGCGACATTAACTCATGACGGCGCGAAGACTAGGCTGAAGTCTTGTAATCGATGATTCACGATACATTCACAGCCGTGATACCACATTGTTTCTTTCTAACGCTGTACCTTACGAGAACTTTTGTCGGTGCGGAACCAACTAATGTTTGTAAAAAAAATGTAATTGTCCGTTTGTCAATATGGTTCGTAGCATTAGGCTTTTTGAATAGTTCGACAGGAAGTCCATCCAACCAATTGCTGGCTCAGAACATATTGAATGATTAGTTGAATGATTAGTGAGAAGATACAGTTTCCATTCCGCACAAAAAGAAGTCGTGTACAAAAGCCATTCAACTATTGCTTAGATAGAAGGTTAAAAAAAAAAAGACTATCAATACGACGTTGTGGATAGGGAAGCGTGAACTTCACAAAAAATTATAGAAAGCCATTTATGACAATCTACGTGTGTACGTATGGTAATAAGATGTTACAGCATAGTCATCAAAATGATACTAAACAGTTTACATCGAACACCCTGTTTTTTATATAAATAGTGGAAAATCATCAAAATTATGTGGAATTAAATTGTTATGTAGAAATGAAGCCACCAGAGCTCAGAGTCACTTCCATATTTTTATATTCTCGTCTAACGTTTTGTTTTCTATATGCTACAAAGTCGTACGGAGGATGAAAGTGAAAAAAGAGAATAAAACTATGCACTATGATTACATATATATATATATATATATATATATGAATATATATATATGCACACTAAGCCACCGCATTTATGAAAATTATATGTGTATTTCGAAATTATAATAGGGTGGAATATGAATATAAACAAGTGTGGCTGGCAGGGCATACTTTGTTTGTTTATTTGTTTGCATATATATAGGTGTGTGTGTGTGTGTGTGTGTGTGCGTATAAACAATAATGCGGTTTGTGCCGGTTGGTTAGTCTGTTGCTCGTATTGCGAAATAATTTAAAGAGTTTTCATAACATTTTAAGCATCGCTTGTATATACGTGTGCGTGTGTGTGTGTGTGTGTGTGTGTGTGCGTACGTGCAAGCATGTTGCTAACAATTTATTGTTTATGAATTTTTAACATATTTAAAAGTTATTAAATTTTCCTTTGTTTCGTATTTATTTTTTTTTTTTTGCCTTTGCTTATGAGTTTTCATCATAAACACTCGCTTCAACCATAAGTCATTTCTGATGCATGAAAAACCTAAAAAAAAAATAAAAATAAAAAAAATAGTAATAATAATAACAAATAAATAATAATAAATAAATAAATAGAATAATACATCTATACATAAATTATGCCTGCGTGGAAATGAATGAATGTGTGCCTGTGTATATGTGAAAAAAAAATGTATAATTTAAAAACATTTTCACAAACATACACACTTGAGGCAACACTTTGAATAAATACTTGAGGCAAAACCATAAATGCGTGCTAAAAATTTTGTTGGCAAACATTTTGAGGTCAGATAAAAATACAAGTGTAACACTTAAATGCGTACACACTCACATGTATATGTAATCAAACTAAAAAAACCAAAAATTATATTTACCCAAAAAATTTAATTGAATAAAAGAATAGAAACAAAAAAAATAAAATAAATACTTTCCTGCATATATAGGAAAACAAAAGCATATCATCATTATATAGTCAAAGCAAAGTTTTCAATAAGCAAAATAAAAAATAAAAAAATTAAAGGAAACCTAAATGAACCCAAACTGTCATCAGAAAATGTTTAAAAATTAATTAAACACATGAGTGCTTCTCGTAAAGTTATTGAATTCAGTTAACCAATAGCAATACAAAGAAAAATTCAGCAATTGTTGTAATACTTTTTGCCGCATAACAACGGCACCAGCAGCACCGGCAACAGCAGCAACAACTACAGCTCCAACAAACGACATAATGCTTGGCTGTATTTATCAATTATGGGATTGGTAAGTTACTGCTAACACTGTTTACACACACATCGTTTTTTGCACGGGCAGATATGTTTTTTAAAAAACCGCGCAAATAAAATCGTGTATACGGGATATGGCTTCAAAACTCGTGTAAGATGAAACCACTTTAAATAAATTCAGCAGAAAATCGTGCAAAAAAAGTACAAAGAAAATAAGAACAATTTATTTTTACTAAAAAAAAAAAAAAAAAAATTAAAATACAACAAAATTAATATACAACGAAAATTCAGTTCACAAGTACGATATAAAAATTTCAATTTAAATTAGAAATAAAAATCAATTTCCATCGCTATTTGATAACAAGCGTCCACAGTTATTACGGACTGCACTTGACATGTCTATCACAATTATCGAGGTTCGATTCGAGTGAAGTATGATCAGAAAATTCGGATTTTCCAGCACCAAGACACTAACATATTTGTGGATATAAACCGACCCACTGCTACTGTTCGAAGCATTCCCCCAATTGGATTGCCTTCTCCAACACATCGTCAAGATTAGAATAAAAAAAAAAAAAATTTTTTTTCTCATTCTCGGCAAAAGAAAAAACTCGTGTAAAAAAATACATTTGTTCTTATTGGTGAAGCGTGTTAAAGCCGGGCAAAAAAATGTTGTGTAAAGAAGAGAGCTGGTGTATTATACAAAATGTATTTACATATACACATGTGTGTATCCTTATGCGGGAGAGTCTGTGTATAAGTTTAAATACTCGTAAAACATAAATCAATACAAAAATTTCAATATAATATTTCATTTTTCGTTTTTCGGGTTTTTTTTTTTTTTTATCGTGTACGCCTTGTTGAGCACATATGCTGGGAGAACGAGCTTACAATGAATTTTAAATATTTCATAATTGAAACGCCATTCAATTGAAATATTTTGCCATAGAAAGGGAAATATTAAATGGTGAACGTGTTGCTCGTATACTAAGTAAAGAAACCAAAAAAAAAAAAAAAAATTTACCCAAAATGAATAATAAATAGTTGTTTTAATAAAAATTTTTTAAATTTATATATAATTTTGTCTTGAAAATTCAATTTCGATTTCCAAGAAGACTAAACTGGCATCAACACTGGCACTGAGGACAAATAGCTTTCTTGCAAGCATATCTTAAACGTTACTTATCTTAAGCATGCGTAGAGACTTCTCATAGCGTCGACTGTAGCTAGTTTTCAGTATAACCTCAAATCGAAGTGTTTCCACAAACACGAATGAAGATAAAAATTAACCAAAAATGATTGACTGAAACGGTTCACTTCTACTTCACCTTTTGGTCTCAACTCTCCGTTTTCGGCTTCCTTTTTTAATATGGCCGCACCCAAACTAAAAGAAAACAGATGGGATAATGGGACCCAGCGAACGAATTATGCACCTTAAGTTTCTAATGTAACTAACGGTAACTTTTAAATTATTTAAAGGAAACAAAAATGGCCGCCCCGTCGCTACGGCATAGCAGCACCGGAGCAATTTTCTGCCGGCTGGATTTTAATGATGCCTTACCAGCATCTGCAATAATCGTTGGGCAACATTCATAGCTTTGCCGCTTACCGACCGCAATTGAAACATCCCAAGCCCGCAATTCTAACTTTTCTAATATTTGTACCGCACTCATAGCAACGGATCATCCATTGCTGGGAAATTGCACGAAACCAGTGCCTTTGGATGAGCATGACAAAGAATGCGTTAGCGAAACAATTCGACTCTTTTAAATTTTTTATTCACATCGCTTCGTAGTATCGAAGCCCTTAAGGTCTGGTTAATTTAAAACGTTTTCGTTCTTCACGGCACTGAAAAGCAAACACTGATTGCTCTAACTGCATTCTTTAAATTTCAATTTTTTTAATCGTTTTGAATAAGGTAATGCTATGTGCAAACTTTTAAAATTTTATTTTTTACGTAAGCCTGTCATTATATTGCCTGTTGTCGACTTCATTTTTCACAACTGAAAAAAATTTTTATGTTTCTGATGACATTATGCAACAGACTTTGAAGTTTGTAAAGATTGAACAAAGGGGCAAAAAAGTTTTTTCTTTTTTGTGTTTAAAACTAAGCTAGCGCTACAGGCCACATGTTGGAGCAGATGTTACACTGGTCGTTAAATATCCACTGCAAAGAAACCATTGTGTAACAATGCACTATAAGGCCTCTTTTGCCGCCCAACATCATCCCTTGCTTATCATCTATACCCCCAGTGGATTTGCTGACCAAACGATTTTTAAACTTTATGCATGAACTGCTGTAACTACCGGATTGTCCCCGTAATGTTCGGGCTTTGTGTGCGAATTTAATCAATTAAAAGCAATTAAGCATGTGAATACATAAATGTAAGCGTTGCCACCACCACGCCATAAGCAGTAAGCTCTACACACAAAATCTGTAAAGTAATGTGTGTATCGTGCATGCATTGTAAGTGAAAAATATTTCATTCATTCATTTAAATGTGTATGGGTGCGTGTGGAGTGACTGCTTAGTTACAAATGAGCGAGAGGCAGACTATGCGCAGCATATAAGTAATCTTTTGTATAAATCTATTGCAGGAAATTGTAAGAAATCACTAGCTTTGACAAATTTCACAATAATTAGATTTAAAATAATTGGGTTAAATGGGTTAAGGCTGTTCGCAAACATTAGTTGCTTATTTACTGTTCTAATTCCATTAGATTAACCTTTTAATTGCTTTTTCACAGTGAATATTGAACGAATGAATGCACACTTTCAAATTAAATGTTTGTTGTTCTCTTTGCTCATTGTAGGCTAGAGGCACCACCGCTATTTACAGCGGCCAATATGGACGCCAAAAAACTCCACCAATTGCAGCAATCGCAAAATGTACAAAAGAAATTACCGTTGGCTTACCAAACCAACATTGCCGATTATCGCACAGCCACCCATTCACCAGTCTTCCAACAGCAACAGCAATTGAACTATCACATGTCACATGTGCCATCGGGATCCTCAAATACGGCTGCACTTACTGCGCAGTATCAGCAAAGTCCGACAACCACATCTTCCAGTGGACCGCTGTCACCTATTGACATCCAACCGCAGGCGAATAAACTTTTGTTGAAGCATCAGGTGACAAGTGGAAGCGGTGGTAACACATCAAGTAGCGCTCATAGTTCACCTTATCATCAGCCATCTACTTCGTCCGGTTATCCCACAAGTAGCGGTGGCACAGCTGGCAACTCCGAGCAATTATATCAATCGCCCACTGAAAGAACGTATCTAGCAGCTGCTGGGAGACTGCAGGCATCCCATAATCCTGCCACGACACTTCAACAACAATACCAACAATTACAGCAAGCTAAACTTCAAGCCCAGCTACAGACCCAAAACGAAGCAATACAGCATCAACACCGCACTTTCGCTTTACGGCAAGCTATGAATCCACCCGTGCCCCAGGGCCATTATCATGCGAGTCAATCTTCAAGCATGGTCTCCTCCGTGCCACAGCAATCTGTTGTTCAGCAACAAATGGCATCTCAACAGCAACAAAGAGCTCCTCCTTCTTCTCTAACTTTAAGCAATCAATTTCAGCCAGCTTCAGGACCTTTAAAAGTTAACCAACAACAACAAGCACAACATTCTGTCATTGGTCCACAAGGCCAGCAACACTTCCACCATCACCCACAGCAGCAAGTGCATAGATCGCAAGAACAAATCTATGGTCAGCATCAACACCAACAATTGCAGATGCAGCTGCATCATCAGCAGCAATTACATCAACAGCAACAGCATCAGCAACAACACTACCATCCTCTGCAACAAAGATCCAAATCAGATTTGCAAACACCAAGCGGTGGGAATGATCAAAGCCCTGTGTATATACAACAAAATCACCCCGGCCATGTAGTTAATCAAGCTTGTCAAACACAAATATCTGCGGTAGTGAAAACAAGTCAAACAACGCAAAACACAAAAACTCCAAGTTCTGAAGATTCGTCCTCAGCGTCAGCTAAGAGCCCTACGCATCATCCAGTAGATCGAAAGAAATCGTCGGGTGGATCAAATTCCTCAAATACACAAGCTCTAAAAAGTCCTCTTACAAAGCGTCCACCATCCTCACCGGTCACAATATCCGGCTGGCTTTACAAGCAGGGATCGGACGGTTTAAAAGTTTGGCGCAAACGTTGGTTCGTTTTAGCCGAATACTGTTTGTATTACTATAAGGGGCCCGAAGAAGAAAAACTTCTTGGTTCAATACTTTTACCTTCGTATAAGGTATCCGCCTGCCTGCCAGAAGATAAAATTTATCGCAAATACGCTTTCAAATGCGAACATCAAAATATGCGCACTTATTGGTTGGCAGCTGAAAATCCTGAATCAATGGTACAATGGGTGCGCGCTTTAAGTGCTGCTGCAATGATGCAAGCATCCGCTAGCGGGGGAGAATCTTCGGAGCAACCAAGTGTATCGTCATCATCGGCTAATCAAAGTGGCGAAAATTCAGATTCGGGTATACACACTTTGCAATCGCAACAAAGCAAGCTGTCTAGCCAAGGACAAGTAACGCCTGCTTCAGATAGCGGCAAAAATCAAGCAACTAACGGTAATAGTGGCGGTGGTGGGGGTGTTCAACCTTTATACGCTAATGCGCCTCCCAAGCCTAGACGAATTACCGATGGCGGTTATTCTTCACCTAGTCCTGAACATTCTATAGACAACGAGCGACGAGCCCATCAACAGCAACAGCAACAGCAACATCAACATCAACACCAATTCCAGCCATCAGCAACTAGTCGTCGTAGTGGCATTATGTCGCCCACCCTGCAACAAATGCAGCAACAACAACAGCAGCAGCAATATGCTCATACTCATAGCGGTCAGAGTCGACCTCAACATCATGCCATCTATGATACGCGTACTGGTAATGTCTCATCTGCACTAAGAGTACAGCAACCGCCAACACAACAGTATCAACAACAGCAACAATCCGTTTATAATATCGACCATCTAGAAACTCAATATCAACAACAAATGTCGCTGATGAACGATGAAAACTCAAAAACTTCCCCCGGTAGTTATATGGATGCTCAGATGGAAGCACAAATTATGCAGTTGCAACAGCAACGCGCTGCCATAGGCGATGACATATATGGTGAACGTGAACTGTATATGCAAAGATTAATACAGCAACGTTACCCGGCTCAGGCACCCAATTACGGAACAAACAATGCGGAGCGTCGTACACCCGATGCCTATGGCCGATCAAAAAATCGTATCTTTTCGGATTATGAAGACATCTATAATTTCACGCAGCCGGGAAATGTTGGCGCGACAAATGTGATGTCCGCTCAGGAAGCTCTAATACAAGAGGCAGCAAGCTACCGTCGTCCCCTATCACCACCCACTTACGATGGCCATAAACATGTACCTTCCATTCCATCACTCTATGCAACCAATCATTTAGAGGTAAGAATGTCTTCATTGTTAAAATTAAAGTAGTAGTAGTAGTAGTAGTAGTAGTAATAGTACAGAACGTACAGAAAACTCCGCGTGTCTGAAAGTTCCTAAATAGATTCCAAAGAGTTTACTGTAGAATTCTTATATATAGTATTACGCTAATCTTAAGGGTACTGGTATGGTAGCCGTTGCAATTATAAAATTGATATATGGAAGTCTTAAGTCAGTTCTACAATTTCACAACTACAACAGAGGATGCGTGGCTCGTAAATAATGAAAGAAGATGAACGTAGCCGTAGATAGGTTACGGACTATCAGTTTGCATTTCCTCACCTCACTTTTTCTCAAACGAAGAGATCACGTTACGATACTTATGATTTAAAATGTTCTCATCGCCTAGCAAGCTGATATAGCAGCGGCTGTTTAAAAAGCAGTTCTTTTCTTTACAAATACATAACGTTTCTAAAAAGTTTTTCTTTCTGCTTCTCAGCCGCCGAACTACTGCTAATGCCTTATAAAGTCTAGCAAAAAAACAAAAAAAAAAAAAGATTTGAAAAAGAAACTATGCATACATAATATGCCTACACTTGCAAATGAATGCGAGTAAAATTGGTGTCTGCTCATATGCATATGCATGCGTTTGTGATATTGAGTTTGTAGAACTTTTTACTGCCCTTAAAACAATGCACCCACGTACCTACTCTTATAAAAACCCCTTCACTGTAGTTATATATTTACCGTTTTTTAATGTGGTGCATGTGCATGTTACACAATTACTACTACGTACAATATACCTGCAGGAAATGGGTCGTCGTTTGGTATGCGTGCAACCAAACGATTTAACAAAAAAATGAAATTTAAAAAAAGAGAAAGAATAAAAAAAATAGTAAAAGTCTTCTGCGGTTACAATTTGAGTTGGAAATCTTTAAAACATGCTTTAAGCCTTAAATAGCAGCCAAATAAAAGAAGGCAGTTCATCTTGAATACACACAACAAACAACTCATCATGCAAGAATGCAAGAAAAGGCTACAAAAGGGAAAGACTTCCATGGAAAACATTAAAATCAATAAATAAAATACGCACACGACTTCAATTTGAAGAAAATTTATTTTTAGCAATTTTATTAAAGCAAGCAAAAGAATCTCACAGATTTCGTTTTTGTGGTCGTTTATTATACGGATTTTTATTGTTATTGGTAATCTCATGTGATATATGTTTTCAGTTTTACCTGGATATACGTGTGGATTTTATTGCCTTGACACTGCGGCGCTCGAAAGTGTATAGCTTCCGTACGCCGCAAGGCGTTCTTTCCCCTTTCTTTTTTGTCATTCTGTCCGTCGCTTCTTTTATGATCATCGTTAAAGTGGGATTTAATATACCAAGAAAAAGTTCTTAATTAAAAAAGAAAGCAATTCTAATCCTTTCTTTTTCTTTTTTTTTTTTTCTTAACTATAAACGCTTTTCGTTTGCCAAACATGTCTTTTAGGATTACTCGTTACGCAAATAACCAAAATTGGACTTTGTAAAATGTCCTCTATTCTCTCCGACGATTAATGCACTTTTGCATTTGACGGAGTCAGTTTTCATATATGTACGGGCCGTTTATTCATGCCGAAAAAAGCCCATTATGTTCTATATAAACGCATTATGATGGATCGATTTGGCGTTTAGAGTGAACAAATAATTGTCAGATTGTGGGCTGCTTCCAATTTTTCTGATACGAGTGTAGCAAAACACAGCAGAGGGGAAAGAAGAGTAAGGATAGTGACATTTAAGCATTATTTCAATACTTCTTGACGGCGAATCGAATAAGAGAGTGACAAAAGATAGGAGAGATAGGAGATTTCAGGCACTCAATTCTCTTCTCGCAAGCGCTGACTGCATTCGAGCTGCGCAGAGGAGATGGAAGAAAAAGAAGATTCGCCTAGCGTTTACACTCTAGTCCAAACTTTCCTTAAAAGCAAGAAGCGCACAAAACGCGAAAGGATGGCGGCTCAATTCGTAATCTTCATTTCAATGTTTCTGTCAGTCTTCTTGTCTGTCGTCAGAACAACGTGATTACATCAGAACTGCGTATGTGTGAGAGAAAGAGAAATCGTATCTTAGACTTCTCTACGTGAAACTTTCCTTACGAGCAAACAGATGGACAGGAATAAATAAATACGAACGAAAAGTGAAGGAGAATGTTATTCTAGTCTTATTTTCAACCTTTCTATCTGTCTTGCAGAAAAGTAGTCGAAGACGGAATTCGTCATAGGAAAAGGAATAAGAATGTCCGCTTAGGTTCTACTCTTCCAGCTTGTACTTCTACGCATTCTACTCTAGATCGCATTGTGATCTTCCATTCTACTCTAGGTCGCTTTGTGATTTTGCTTTATTCTGCTTTATTTAATAGTATCTGTATAGAGTTGATGTTCGCTATACCCATGGGTGTGATCTTCATTTCGGTGCTATCAGCTTAAGCTCTCAATTTGTTCAAACTAAAACAAATATCGACCCTGTGAAAAAATTCAAATTCTATTACCGGAAACATAGCATCTACCATACCCATAATTATTATATCGCGGTACATAGTGGGATGCCCATCTTTCGAATCCTGAAAAAATGGTAATAAATATTTTCGAAAATCCAAATAGATTATCAAAATTTTATAGTTTTTTATTATTATTGTTGTAAATTTTAATTCATACTGTCATAAATCCTCAATGGTCTGTTAAATTTCTTTTATATCCTTTCGCCTACGATTTTCAAAATTTCAGTTGATTTACCACACACTTCACTTCAATTGCTTCGCTCCTTGCTTGCTGTGTTTCGTTCCATTTCATTTCAGTTCCAGTTATATAGGAAGAAGAAGAAGAAGAAGAAAAAAAAAATAAAGCAAACAAATCAAGAGAATAGAAGACAATCCAAAAAATATGCTTTAGAATTTTTATATCTCTATGCCCGAATGCTGGACACACTGAGAAACACATACAGTTATTTAACAACTTTCATGCAGAGATGAGACGAAAACACGTAGGCACAGACAGACGCAGAGAGTAAGTGCTTCTAATTTATGCATGACGTTTGTTTGTTAATTGCCAATGTACGAGTGTGTTTGTGGGTATTTGTTGGCGTTTGTGAATTGTGTGCATTCATGTGTATAGATTTATTTTGCTGTACAGGTATTTTTCTGGTCCGGTCTATATATGCTCTTGTTGTTGTTTTTTTTTTTTTTTTTTTTTTTTGTTTTTTTCTTGTTGGAAATACTGTTTGAAAATCGTATTTTATCCTGTCAATTAAGTCAACTGTTTGGAAAATGGTATTACCGCTTTTGGTCCGTGCTGGTATACTATTGCTATGTTTACGTACGTGCTTACTGCGACGTCTATGCATAAATGTGTGACCAATTTATTTTGGCTATACGATGTGTCAATGATTAAACATGTTGGTCTGTCCCGATGTGTGCCCTCTAGATGCCTTAGTCCTGGTTAGTAATTGTTTTAAAGATGATTTTTCTTAAATTGAATTTTTACATCCTCCAACCACACACCATAATAAATACGTTGATTTTTGTTTGCAGGAAACGCAAATACGCATTAGAAATTTGATACTATATGCGTTTCCTTAATGTAACGGGAATTATGAGAATAACGTTTTTTAATGTTTGTTAATTACATACTTCATGTTCTCCTTCAAATAAACTCAACGTTGAACTACATTCATCCTGTTTAAAAAAATAGACATATGCGAAAACTTATTTTGGTTATCGCAAGGAGCCGTCCCAATACGACTGTGTTTGGGATAATCTTTCGCGGCCTACATAAATGGCCTCTTAGGCGATCAGTAGGCTGAAAGTGTCTGCCACAAAATGTGCAAAGTGGGCTTTGTGAAAGGGGAGGAGCCATTTATACAGCGAACTGATTGCAATTTTGAACCAGCAGTGCTTTGTCATTTTTTCTGAACAAGACGGGTTGCAATATTGCATAAGACTCTTGTATTTTGATCGAGAGACGTCGATGTTTTAAATAGACCACCATGACCATCTTTGAGAAGTTCGACAATTGAAATTCCATCCAACAATCTAAGCAAACTCTTCCTCACAATTAATGGGTCTAGCTGTCGGAAAAATGCAAATTTTCACATATCTAGCAATTAGTTAATTTATATATGTTTTAAGAGTCTAAACTGGTTAAGCTAGATTGATTAGACGAATGGAGACATAAGTTGACAAGTGAATAAGCCGATGAACCTATCACTCGCCTGAACTCACTGTAAGACCTTCGGCAGATAGGTGAACAAAAATATGGAACCGTAGGCAGACAGACGGACGTGGCGATAGATCAATAGACGAAGAGATGCATAAACAAATGGACAAATAAATTGATGGAATAGTAAACGGATTGAGGAACAAGTCCTTTAAAATATTTAACATGAACAGCTTGCATATAAATCCTTAATTCCATGGTGTCCGACCATTCGAATCTTAAGCCCCGCGGCTTATATGACACCCCAGCAACGTCACGTTCAGGTGATGTTAGATGAACACAGCCACCACAAAACCGCCTAAAAATCGGCTTCCAACTGTCAGGATAAGAGGAGAGATAAACTATGCTTTGATGGGTAGCATAGATGTACCGAAACTCTCACCTCCCAGTGGTGATACCCGGGCAACGGTTTCGACCGGCTAAGAAGAGTTTAAGGTTTTGGGCTACTAACTCGGCGACGAGTTTCTGAGAGATGGTGGAGGGGTTGGCTGGAAGAAGAGCTCTTCACTCAATAGCTGGTTACTACCGAGGAAATATATGAATGAATGGTTTTTAAGTACGTTGAAGGTAGTAATCTAGCGAGTGCATGGTAGTTTACTCTGCCATGCCAGTGCAATACCCGAGACCTATATATTTCGAAGAAAAGTAGTTCACTGGTGCTGGCAACCAGGAAAGTATGGAGAATCCGAAGCAAGTACGGTTGTTTTAACATCCGCCCAAAGTATGCCTAAGGCTTTGTTAAACAAACTGGGAGCCACGGGGGTCAGGAGGCTCGCCTCACAACGCCACGTATGCCTGCGGGTGTATGATGGACTTTGTCCTTAAAGTCGTAATGAATAAATTAATTATACTATTAATGCAAAAAGGAATTGACGGACGGCCTTCCCTTTGGCCGATTAATAGAAGATATCTGGCAAATTAATTTAATACATGCAAAAATGAAAAAAGGGATATGACGGAAAGGTTTTTCCCCTTTTACCTATTTTTACTTTTGAACACATGTCACGAATGCCTGCGGGTAATGGTGGTAATTGATCTACAGCACAGTGGAAGCCTTATGGCGGAAGCAAGCGTTGATCAATTTGTGAGTCCTGACCGCTTGGGTGCGGCCCTTCGGGGAGTACTCGTGGTGGTTGTGGTTGGCGAGTTCCTAGCTAAAATGGAACAATTGAGTGCAGCTAGGCCTCGCCATTGACCAGAGTGGGGTTTATTGTTCCATACACAATAAACTGTTCTGGACTCTGGTGCTGTTTAGGCCCCTACTCTGTGGGGATTGTCTAACTCGCCAGGGGCGTAGTACGCTTAAAGTGGTTTGGGCCACCGTGGGGTTAAGCCTTTCAGGCAGGAACCCACGTTAAACCCTTGCCACAAATTCTGTCAGGATAAAAAAAAAAATTTTTTAAAAATAAAAAGAAGCTCTCGTTGCTGCTCTTCCGCCCATGATACTCCAATTTTTTTTATTGCACTTTTGACCTTGCTTTGGGCCGCATTGGAATACAACTCTATAAAACTTGCAAATAGCAAAACGAATATATAATAGAAGGTACGCAGGGACGAATTATAGGGTAAACTGAACTGACGAAGACTGGATTTGTTAAGCAATTAGGTAGAAAAAAACTCGGCCAAGCGTTCACATACACGAACAGGGAGATAAAAGCGCAGAGAGATGCAAAAGACGAAAAGCGCTAAATCCACTGAAATCTCACTCTTATTACATACATAATTACGAAAAGTGTTTGACAGACATTTGCTGTCGATCTGCTCGAGATAGTGGTCTAAAAATAATCTCGTTAAGCAACGCATAAATAAGTTTTTCTTCTCCATTTTGCTCAATAGATAAACAAAAATTATTAAAATGATTAGCTTCTAGATATTGTAAACGCAATTATCACGTTTCTCGTGACTATCTGCAGAAACGAGTTTACGACGTTACAGATGTTAACTAATTAGTCTAATGCTTAATTTATTTCTTTTGCTACTATTTTACATATGTACATATGACCCGATTTGAGACATCATTTAAATCATTGCACTACTCTACCATAAAAAGAATATTTAACAATAGAAAATGCAGAAAAAAAATTTAGAAATTATATCCTTTTTAAGCATCTGTTGTTTTCCCAACAATTGTCGAAAAGAAAACTTTCCATTTTGCTAAAGAAAAAAACGTCTCATAGTTTCGCTTTTTATTTAAAAAATTTCCAAATTAACTTTTTTTTCAACAGTTTTGTGTCTTGAAAAGTTTAAGAAATGCCATCTACGCAGGCACACACTGTCAGTCGAATAACGCAAGGACTCTCTTTTAACTGAATTGCATAACAAACTTTTCAGTTGGTTTTGCATTCGTTTTTTTTTGTTTTTCCTTTTTTTTTGCAGTGATATGAACATGATCCCAGAAATTGCTTTACCAAGCTTTGCTCTAGATTTTTATATTTTGACAAGCTAGTAAAAAAGAAAAGAAAAGGAAAAAAAAAAAAAGAAATAATATAAAAAGTGCGTCTGTGTGTATGTATTCAGTTCACTGGTAAACTGATGCGGTCTGAGAGATATACGTGAAGTGTCATACAAAACTATTATAAAAAACTATTATATTTAGCCAACAAAAATATGCAGATACACATGCACATAGACCGACCGACATAAGTTGAACTTCTAATTAGTATGTTTACTGGGTTAACAGTAGCTTTCGGTTATGATTTTAACAAGGTTTCGAAATAGAAACGTGAGCAACTACCAAAAACTAATGTGAAAAAAAAGAGTACACAAACAAAACACGAGAAGAAAAAAAATTTAAACACGAAAAATTCCAAGTTCTTGAGAGCGCTATTTAAAGCCACGAGCATGTATTTCAAAAACAAAAAAATTGCATTAATATCACCTTTTAAGCGGCAAATTGAAACGAGGTTAAGTAAACTCTTTTGTCGAAATATCCTTCAAAACATATCTTGAATTCAGGAGAGGCTTTTCTTCTCCGTCCTGTACGCCTCCGAGCGATCAAAGTATTATAGAGAAGCAAAGATGTATACGAGAAGAAGTTTCTTTCTTTCCTCTTAAAAGGCTGAGAGCTTAGCATAGCCGTAAGTTATTATCCGACAAGATTAAAAGTCTATTGGAATAGAAACTAATACGTCTTGTGATCCGGGAACACACTATTATTATTATATGCTGGCTAAAGCATAGCTATCCGGATCACAAAATAACATCATTATGTCAGGGGACCTGATCTTTTCGTTTCGATCCTTTTGAATCGTCGCCATTCTGTCAGCGGCGAGCGGCTGTCCGGGCCGCGGTTAAGATATACCCAAATAATCGCGGAGGCCTTTTACTTATTAATAAGTTAGATGGGTCCCACACACCTTGCACGGAGGCGAAGAAATTGATCTAACTACGATCCCATTCCTTTCATTCATTCACAGCTAAACAATGCGTTTTCAGGAGCTATGCATGTTTCCGACACTTCGTGACTGTGTGGATATTGCGTCCACATACACAAAACTTTCAACTTAGCCCTAGGCACGAACAATATGTTCCATTACGTCTGGTAAAAAAAAGAATTTCTTAATAGCTCCCCCCATTTAACCTAAACCCTCGATTTAAAGAGTGTTAGCGTACATGAAGGCCTAATTAAAGAAGCATTTTAATCATCATACTTGCCACATATGTTAATTATATGTTTTCTGTTCTTCTTACCACCTTCGCAGCACTCGTCTACGCAAAATGTCATCGGTAGCAATAGTAATTTGCGCGCTCGTCCCGCTGCTGCCATTATTCGACCGCATTCGGCCGATTTTCTAGAATATGAAGCTCGCAATGATATAGCAACGACCGATGCATTACCTACACCAGCAACGACTTCTCACCTAACTCATATGGTCAAACCGGATCCAGTTCGAGCACCTCGACCCAAATCCAGCTTAGATATTAATCGTACTCCAGACAGTTTTTACTACTCCGAAGAGAATTATGCCGAGAAAATGCGTAAAAGCGCTCTTTACCTTCAACATCCTCAGGGACAAACAACTTTGGCTCAACCGCAACAAGCCGGGTCATATCGAACTGCCACCGGATCCTCAGATTTCTTAGCTGCACCTCATAACGGTCTCAATACCATTGGCTATGAAAATCCTTACGAACGAGCCTATAAACGCAATGAGTTAATGCAAGACGCGTTAATTAATCAAACCGGTCATACAAGTATACCGCGTATGAGTAGATCACAAATGATCGGTGCAGGTTCTCATGTACGCTCGTCTTCAACCCATCCCCACACGCCGCAATCACCGACCATACAGCAATCAAATTTACTAACAGCTGGCCTCACCACCCAACAAATTATACAACAAAACGAGCAATTTTTACGCTCAGCTAGTGCTCGCTTACCGAAAAGAACGGGAACATTTGATGATGAACCCAATTCTCCACCGCCTCCAGCAGACGCTTCACCGCCTCCCGTTGTGGGTACTAACAATAACGCGCCTGCTTCCCATTTAGATGGTGAACGCAAACGTGAAGAATCGATGAAACGTCTGCTGGAATGGAAACAACGTATGCTTCAATCGCCATTGACACGGAAAGGTGCTCAAGCTCATAGTACTGCTCTGAATAGTAACAATGATAACAGTAACGGCAAAAATAATGTAACAAATGCTTCAAAGTTAGGTAGTAATCCTAATATCCTGTTGTCCTCAACTACGGTAGCTAGCGGTGCCCATTATCCTATCAAGAAGACAAACAGTAATGCGAATAATGTGAATGTTGGCTTACAGCGTAGCCGTTCCGAAACGCATGCCAATTCCGGTCACGGTACGGGATACAATTCGTACTCATCAGATGATGAAGGTAAGTGAGGCACACTTCTATGCTCCTTAAATCTGTCTGCTTGCAGAGTCATATAACTTATATATGGACAACGACAAGTAATCTTTGTGTATACATTTTTATTTATTTATTTTTTTTTTTTTTTATTTTCAATTTAATTTTACTTTTTATAAAATTTTACTACATTGTCTTTACTACCTTCTTTTAACTCCCTACAATTATGTATTTTGCATTTAAAAGCTTTTACCATATAAATCATTTTACTAATAGTATTTCCTGTAGAAACGAAATAAGCAACCGCATCATACTTGGCGGCGGTGTTTTTCATTTTTATTTCATTAGCTTTTGCTCTTCTCGTCTTCTGCTATTCTATTATGCTTTGTGTAGTTTTCAAAAGCCATAGCTTTTGTTTGCTATGTTAATTTCGTTGCGCTTCTCCTGTCTTTTATATGCTTTTCTCTCCCTACTCCATACTTGGTTTTGTTGTTGTTATTCTCTCTAAATCTTTCCATTTTTACATCTACTCTAGCCAGCTAGTCTTCCTCCCTATATATATGTGCATATATATTTATATGTATAATATTGTTATTGTATTTGCATTCATAACTTTTATTTGTATTTGTAACTTAATATTTATACATAAAACTACTTTTGGTTAGTGTTGCTGTTGTTGCTCTTAAATCCTTAATTTGCTAACATTTGAAGTCAAAGCGAAAAAGAAAAAAACAAAACAAAAAAAGAATGGAAATAATGAGATGAGATGGGTGAGAGATGATTCTTTTTATCATCTTATAACTGTTGTTGTTATTTTCTTCTTGTTCTTCTTTTTGAAAAATTATCCTATTAACCCCTTTTTTCATAGTTCGACATTATAAGGGTCAGTTTATTTTTTAATGTAAGCCGGAAGGGATATTTTAGTTTTTTAATCAAAGGTAATTTTCTCTAGCATTTTTTTTTGAAAGCAAAAGGTTAATAAAAATGTAATTGAAACGTTGAGTGTTTATTTGCCCTAAAGTGAATTTTTTACTATCCTTATAAAAGTAAAAGTAATTAATTAGTAGCTAAATTCGATTGATTGCTTTTCCGACAAACTGAGCGGCGAAGCAGGGAGAAGTAACAAAGTAATGATTACAGTTTTTTTAAGTCACATGAACACATAAACAAAAAAGTGCATTTTAATTGCTAACTACAGATACCTTATGAAAAGTGTAAAGAAGCAGCGAAAGGGCATGAAAGGCAATGCGAGTGAAGTGAATAAACTAGAGTTGATAAACACTCATAATCCGATATAGGAACTCAGCTACATGCTTTCGTATCTCCTCCAGCTCCTAAATAGGAATACCATTATCAACGTACATCCTACACCATCTGCGGTGAACGTAAATTATATTTATGACGCAGTGTTCAACAACCAGAAAAGCTTGAGATGAATCCGCCAATCTATTCAGAATCTTTGAAGAATTTAAATAAATAATATATATAATGTGATTTCGATTTGTTTAAACGCGGCTTTAAAACGAATTATTAAACGCACATGTTGTCTCTAGGTATGACGAGACAACGATATTTGTAATTGGCAATCGAAATACACGGGGTTATCCAAGCACGAGCACCATTCAAAACGAATGGGATTGGACAGGCTTTATAGTCTTCCCCCAGACAATACCCTATTTTGAAAAAGCCATTTCCTAACGGAAGTAGAGACAAAATGATTTTTTCACATACAAAATACCTGAGCGGGTGCGTGAATTAGACGTCGTGAATTGACATTTTAGAACTAAAATATGTGAAGATTTATTATCTATTTGACGAAGCGGTGTAGAGTACTTACTGGTCAGTTTTGAACAATTGGAATGTTTTTACTTTTTTTCTATTTTATTTTATTATGCAAAGTTTGCAAACAAAAGAGGAAAGAAACAAGTAAAACCTTTAAAGCCAAGCAAGACCGACTATTGAATATCCTACTTCACTTTGTCTGATATCATTTTGCCTTAATTTTCACAATTAAATAGCAAAACCAATATCTTCTATCTATCTCTAGTTAACTTTTATTGCAAGTCATCATTGCAGACTTATTTTTATTATAAAATGTAAAAAATTATAGTTGCTTGGCATCCAAAGGTTTCCTTTGCGTAGGAACGCATATACGGGAGATCGATCCAAAAGTTTTTCACACAAATTTAATATGACGAAGCATCGTTACTCAGCAAAGCTTGCCGAGAGATTTTGCAAACAGCAAATTTTTTTCATAAAAAGGCTTCTTCCATGTGAGGAGTTATCTAAGGGGTGATCGTAAAAACGGTGCAATCCGATAAACATTCAATCGATTTCATCTGTGGGCCAAAATACCATTAGGGTACCAAATTTCAAACACACAAACAGGACAAACACTCTTTAATCCTTTAAATAAATGACTTCGAACCGAAAGGTGTAATGAAATCAATCCATTTGAGGGCGGCTTGCATCTCCACAAACTTAATACGCATTGTACCACAAACGATTTTTGCACGAGAACAGCTCTTTTCTTTTTAAGCAATTATCAAAAGCGTTCCGCATCCTGAAAAAACGCACAGCTTTCGTTGGTAAGCAAAAACCTAACTGTACAGCCACGTCCGCCTAAGTGGCCGAGTAGGCAAGAGTCTCGACTAGCAACTCAATGGTCGTGCGTTCAAATCTCAAGTGTGGTAGAGTTTTTAATAAAAGCCGAAAGCCTTAGGTGCCAGTGCTTTAAGACTTTAGTCTTAGAATTTATTCTCTGGTTAAATTTATAATAATAATAATAATAACAATAATAATAATAATAACAACTGTACAGACAATAATGCACAGATAATAATTCCGAAACTTAAAAGTAAAATATTCCCATTAACCGGTGCCAACTTCAAAGATCTGTAAAATTAACTGCATATGAACTTAATATACTGTTAAGTTTAAAAAAAAAAAAAAAAAAAAAAAAAACGCTTTTTCTATTTAAAAATCGTTTACGTATTTTCTGTTTTTTACATGAATTTATTTACTTTTCTTTTTAGCTCTGTTTATTTATTTAATTATACATCTTTTTTCTTGTAGTTATTTAAAACTTTCATTCTTTTTCCTGTAATCTGATATTATTTTCTAAAATTTTATTTATTTTTAACAAAATGTTATTCAAATACATTTGCAAGTAAACAAAAAATTTATTAACATTTCAATTAGTAGCTATTAAGCACAACAAAAGTCAACAATAAGCAAACAAATAAATTTTAAAAAATAATAATAATACAGATAATAAAAATTATAAAGAACTGGAAACCTTCCTGCCGAGCGTTAACAACAGTAAAATAATGGGTTATATCTAAATGCAAAAAAAAAAAAAAAACAAAAAATTCCACATGCACTCACCCTTAAACACATACACATGCATATAAATAACATACTATTAGCAATAAGACCATTTCTTTTGCTTGTTTTCTAAACAAAACATTTTCCAAAAAAAAAAAAAAAAAAAATAGTGTTGCGATTATATTATTCGTTACGATAAAAATCCCTACAAAAAAAAACCACGGTTTATTTGAATTAACGCAATAACGAAATTGGATATAAATGAAGTGGAATTTATTATTTATTTAAAAATCAAAAAAAAAAAAATCAAATTGAAAAGATTATGGGTAACTACATTTTTTTAATGTTTATTTTTGTACCAAATATTAGAGGTGTACTAAGTTCCGTTAATCCGTTTGCAGCCCTCGAGAACACGAGCAAGTTAATTTATAGTTGTCAGTCTGTGCGTCCACTTTATACAGAGCCGACAATTTTTGTACATATTTTCCTTTTTACTTTCAAAAATTAAGAAGAAAAAAGAAGTAAAGATATACCTTGTCTATAATAAGCACCTATAGTGGAGAAAAAAATTATTCCTATCTATAACAAGGCTCTGTAGACATTGTAAACAGAAACGGTGGGCGTATGCATCACGAATTAACTCTCTGAAGTTTATGGTTTCTATAGGATCGTTTGACGTAGTGGGTGCCGAAGTTCGCCTTGAGATGAATATAACTTTTCCTAGTGGTTATAAAATAAATTAAGTTTTATTACATTATTTGAATTTTAGAGCAAAAAAATGCAAAAAATTTATTTTTTTTTTTAATTTTTTTTCTTTCACTTCATTGTGTATATATAAAATTAATTTTTGGTGTAGTGGTTTTTTAATTTATTTATTTTTTATGTATCATATGTAGGCTTTTGAAATTTAAGTCATTTATTTTTTATACAATACCGACCATAGGATGGGCTATCGGCTTGTGTTATTACTAATTAGTTTAGTTTCATAGTTGCTTTAATAGTAGGTAATAGGAGTAGTTGTAGAAGTAATTAAAGTTGCTAGCAGTGATATTTTCTCCATTAATCAATCTTGACACTCATCACACTCTTTGCATCAACATAATCACCAATTCAGTCTTTATTATTCGTTACTCGCTTTCATGGTCATACTATGCCCGTATTGCTAACACTATCATTGCTCCTCATTTTTTAACTGAATTTCAGTGCCTTTCTCCTCCTAGTCACATCCCTCTTTGTCTTATTCTAAGAAATATGTGAAATTAATTCCGAATATTTTTTAAGTTAATAATCATTTTGTTGTAATTTAATTTTTAATTCTTTTTTTCTCACTCTTCTTTTTTGTTTTTTGATGTTTGTTCATAAAAAAAATCCATGTTCGCCATAACACTTTTTGTAAAAAATCACAAAAAAAAAAAAAATTTAATTCTCTTAAAATCGTTTTTACAAATTTCTTAAAATAATCATAAAACAAACAAAATAAACCCTGAACACAGACACACAGGCTGGAGGCATAAAGCAGAAAGCGCCGGCAGGAAGGTCTTCTCTAAGAGCCAGTACAAAAATTAACGCTCGCCAACATACGAATACAGTGAATAATGACGTAGCAACAACAACAATAATAATAACAACAACAACAACAACAACAACGGCAACAACAAATTTAAAACTTAAGAAAACCATTGCAATTGTAGAACCGTCCA